TACAGTTTGTTACCTTCACTGTACACAACTCTGCACCTAATCACATACTTGCTGGAGTAAAGACGATGCGCGGAATAAAGATAAACGAGATATTACTGTTTTAATTAAATAAAAAAATTACTTCTGACAATAAGTGAAAGTAAAAGCTTATCACTGAGCTAAAATGAACTTATACATAAAGAACAGTTGAAGCGAATAAACAAAGACTATTACTCGTAAATTACGTACAGTTGTTCGAGAGACTTCTAAGTAAGCATATTAAAGTAATGTAGAAAATAATTGCAGATTATATATTTTTCTTTGCTGATTACATAATAAATTGGATACCTTTTTGTTACAGTAATCATTTCCGACAGTACAGTGCTTACTGTGACGAGAATTCGCCAAATAACAGTTAGCCCATTTTCAGTATTAAGATTTGCATATATCAAGAGATTCCGTCAGTGAAGTGCTGCTTCTTACGTAATGTAGTCATGTACAGTCTAGAACCTAAATGCAGTTGCATGAACAAGTAAATACCTCTTTTATTCCAATTTTTGTATTCCACTTCTGCTATAATTAAATCCTTACAAGCATTACTGACGCCTAGACACTCCTCACATCCAAAAATTAATATTCTAAATTAGCCATCAGGAGTTTCTACTCAAACATGCACTTAACTTATGTACGTTCCATACTTTATCGATTTTGCGGCTCGGCGCAGTGTGAACTGATTCTGAATCATATGCAAAAAAAATTACTCCGTGTGATTACGATCTGTATGTGCTGAAGTGAAACTATGGGAGAGCGTTTCAATTCATTGCGTATTTTGCGTCATTTCTCGTTATAGCAAAAACGTTATTTCAATATCTCAAGTCTAGTGTCGTACTAACTTAAACATGATTCTAAAATTTCAGACTTGGTTTTTCGTCCATTGGGACGCAATATTCTATTGACACTAGTAACTTATGAAGTTCTGGACATCTGAACATGTTTTTGAGTATGCTTTATCAGTTAATCCTTACATTGCAAGTAAAAAATTTTTTCGATCTATTTCAGTGTGAATTATTTCATTGATACTAAATTTTTCTGGGCATTATCCACGAAAGAAATGATTACTATGCGGTAGATCTTACTGAATTTTTTGCTGCTTTTTCAGTCATCCATGGGATACCGTGGCTCGTGCAGCATGGCGAAAGTATCCGAATCCCATGAATTGTGCTATCACTGGAATTGATATTCTTAGCCAATTTTTGCATATAAATGGTTCATTACGCTCTGAACGCATCATTCAAAGTCGTTTCTCAATACCCACGTGGGTGACGACGGTACAAATTTTTTGAAAATTCGAATTTGAACTATCCGTATTATTCGTTCGGTCAATTATTTGTTGGATTTTCATCTTATTTTATAATAAACTTGCCTATCTTTTTACAGCTGACAGGGTTTTCTGGAACACAGTATTCTTATGAAGTAACCGAAATTAATCCGACCAAGAAGGAAATGACTTTAGTTACAAGAAATGTAAGTACATTTTGTTTGTAATTCATGTTTTTTATTGAAGAAATGAGCTCAGATATACCAGTATAAAACAGTTAAGCGAAGATTTAGCTAGAGATAAATTACTTTCATACGTGTTGGCGTATGTAAGAGTTAATTCAAATGTACTTTCTAGATGAATGCAGGGCGCTTCTTACGTGTTGATGAGCGATTAATTTATAAACCAGATCCTCTTGATGAAAAAAGGTATTCGATTGAATTTTTTGATATTAGTACGGAATTATTTGTATAGGGATTTTTCTAAACAGTATCTGTAAAAGGTTGCAGCTCGTTGAAATTTCGATTTATAAATTTTAAAAGTGAATAATTTCAGGACAATATTACAGCAAGAAGCTGTTGTTAATGTTGATTTGCCTGCATTTGCAGGCTATTGTGAAAAAACGTTCCTTAATATATATGAGACTAATGCTAGAATGGTAAGTAATGTATATGAGAAAAAGTAGGGTTTCTGTATTTTATAAGAAGTAAATTCTATTCATATGTCATTTTAAGTCACCACTTTTTATAGAGCTTAAAATCTTAAGATGTTTTCCTTGATTTTTAAATGTTGTTTGTATTACATCATTATAAAGTGCTTGAATCGTTAATTCAAACAGTGAAATTAAAAATCAAAACCATATTACTTATTGTGCGCGAATTCGTAATATTCAACATAATTTCTGACTGCCTTTGTTTCTTATTATAGGGTCGGAAAGGATTGGAATGGGTTATTGATCAGTTCAATAGCTCGTCGAAGTCAGGTTCAAGTATTGAGAAGTCATTATCGCCTGGGTTTCCGGACCCAACGTTTGTCCTTAGTTCATTACATCCTTCTACATAATAAACTGGTTTTTTGTTAATATTCACAATGTAAAAGGGTAGTCGAATAATACTGACAAATGCGGTGTTTGTATTTTACTTATAATTTATTGCCTTCAAAGTATCTTAGCGATTAGAAAGTGTGGAAAGTTAGTTTTTTGCATTATAGCTAATGTTGCATAGTTATGTCACATATACCTACAGCTTGTTTTGTAACAAAACTTTTTCTTTTCGACAAAACTCTGCCTTAAGAGTGGTGCAACTATTTCATCGTATTACAATTTTGTCTGAAATTGTTGGCTTTCGCTGTGTGCTTTTTCAGTAGAGATAATGTTGATAAGAATGATCATCTACAGTTGTTAGTGTTCAACGCTATTTAATATGTTGCTATGTTGACATTGCATGGTATGTTTGTTGTTTATTGCTAATATATGTTGTTGTTAAACTTTTGTACGCAAATAAACCAATATGACGTATTTCATGTGCTTGGTTTGCTACAAATAAGTTTGGTGACTTGAAAAAGTTAATGAATAGACTTGTTTGAGTGGAATAAAGCTATTGTCCTTGAATCTATGAATTTCGCAAGAGAATCTGTTGACGTTGAACATGGGTTCCCAATCAATTACTTTTATAGTTTGCCATTCAGAACTGGGTTGTCGACGGAAAATTATGCTCCCAATAATGTACAGTAATTCTTAAGAGTCTTCCACAATATCAGTTCAAGTGGAAGGCCCCGCGGGATCGCATCTTTCCGAGTTTTTGATGCGGTTTCGAGTTTTAATAAGTTTGTCTTGTGCTTAATGTAACTTGAATTGCTTGGGCCGAGTGGAATATTTTTTGAATGAGTAACATTTGCTATGTATTTTGTTTGCATCTTCTGCTATCTAAATGAAGTGATTCTAGCAATGAGAAATGAGACACGCCTTATATTCTTAATCGTTTGGTGTTTGCTGTCCTTCACTATTTGCAAGCGGTTACTGTTGTTATGAATTTGAACACAGATTTGACTATAGATTTTTTGTTTTATAGTAAGTACTAATAATATCAGTGCAGGAAATTCTTTAGAAACACAGAAGATTGATCAACAATGGAGAGGACGATAATTTCAAATGATCCAAAAGAACGGCTTCTAATGCACTCTGAAATTTTACTCTCTTATATGAGGAGATTACGTGATGTAATTTTTCTGTTTTTTACTGATTTAATATCTTTCAGAAATCCAGTTATGAGATAAATAATAGTCTTAAATTGCGTTATAACTTAGAAGTAATTGCAAAACAGTGGAAATTATTATTCACTTATTCTCCAACAGTATAACGTTCATTCGTTGCTAATTAGGGTTTGGTTTTCTGATAATACTTGGTCAGCTCATGTTCGATTTTTTTACAGATATATTTTTTTGCAGGCAAATCTTTTCTTGGATGTGATTGTTCAAAGTGACGGTATCTATGCAGTATCCGCTCATCGTCTTGTGTTAGCCACGTACAGCAAGCATTTTGAAACAGCTCTCTCTAATGTTCACGATTCCGCTCTAATTTGTTTGGATATTGATTCCAAAACTACGGGTAAATTAGTAAATTATTGGTACCATTTGTTTTGTATATTAACGTGTTTTGTGCAAAAAAAAATTAAACATATATTTTAATTTTTCTTTTGTGTTAAAGAAATCAATAGGGATTGAAGCATTTGGAATAAGAAAGTTTATATTTGCATTGCATTCAAGGGCTGAAAATGGAGGATTTACGAGAAATCATAAATTATATGTATAGTGGACACTGCAGTAATCGATCTCAGAGCAGAATGCAATTTGTGGCTAGTGCTCTAGAAAGTTTCTCATTAATTAGGTTGCTAAAAAGTGAAGAAGCTCGAATTAATGTAGAATTAAACAATCAATATCATTCTCTAGAACTATTGGAAGCTATTAATCGGTTCAGAATGCATGAAAAGTTTCTGGATTGTTTTGTATGCAGTGAGGTAATGACTTAAAATCAATTTTGTCATTAAAATGAACTTTTGCTTGTGTTTAGCTCATTTTTAACTGCTGTGCATCGTTACAGGACTAGAATTCATCGTTGCATTCCTCTCATAAGTTCGAATTTTTTTTTAATAGATATTTTTGTTAGCCGTTCTCCCATTATAATCTGGTTTTGTTATCAGATTTTTTAAAGTTTATATTTTGAGTTTGTTTAGAACAGAACTGTCCTTCGATGTCATCGTTTGATACTTTGCGCATTCAGTACTCATTTTGAAAATGCTCTTCTTGGCACCGAAAAAAGTGCTATTGTGACCGCTGATGTTGATCCAGAAATTACTGGTGTAACCAGGTATTTCAGCTTTTTTTATGATTCTAGGTATTAGTCATGTAAGTTTTACTGATTTCTTTAAGTACATTGTTTTAGCTCGTTATCTTTACTCTTTTTCAGCTCTGATTTATTGAGTTTGATCGATTTTTTTTATAATGGACCAACTTCTTTTGCATTAACTGACTACAAGGGTCTAAGACATGCTGCAATCGCAATGGGTGTTTCTGAATTAATTGATATTACTGATGGAGACTTCTGTGCGTTTCAGATGGATGAAATGCCTGATACCGGTAATATGTCTCTTAAACTTGTATTGATTGCATTAGCTTTTTTTATGATTGATTTTCTTGAAGCAGGGTTTTGTATTTTTCTGGAATTAATATTAAACGTAAGATTAGAAACACCATTTGATAGAAAGCAAGTTTTGATTTAACTTTTTATTGTTTTTGCCCCTCATCATAGTTTTTTTAAGGAATCTGTGATTTAAATTGAAACCAAATATCGGTTCAAGTGACATAAAGTTCATAAATCTTTACTTACAGACGTGACCTGTGAATTTACGGATTTCGTAGAAATAGAGTATCCAGAAACTAGTGAGTCTAATTTTTCTACTATTAAAGACTTGAATTTCAATGATGAAAATGGTAGCAGCAATATGGAAGAGGTCATTAATGATGGCGTTGTGGAAAATTGTCATTATATAGATCCAGGTTGAAGTTTTTTAAAGTCTTAATCACTTAGCTTTAAGAATTATGTGAGTATTATTCAGCTTTTTACTGTCATTGTTACGGAAGAGTTGTTTCTTCTGGATGAAGCTTATGTTTTGTTTAAAAAATATATTTCAAACTGTTTTAGAGATTCCCTTTTAGTTACGAACGTTGATTGATAAGAAAATTATCTAGATGAAATGCAAATGGCGGGAAACGATTGGAACCCAAACGAAATGTCGCCTTCAAAAGCCGCATTTGATGACTACATGTCCATTTATGAAAGATTTGTCTCTGGTCCTAATCGTGGTCGTAAGGGTCATACATATAGCGAGAAACGATTAGTGCTGCAAGCGAAAAAAAGTATGAAGTTGCCTATTAGTTCTATTTTTATATTTTGTAATGTCATACAATATATTTTTAAAGTTTATAAATGCATGTATTTTCATTTGCAGTGCATTTAACTATTATCGTCATGCTTTTTCACTCGAAAAACTTTGAATTGCACTTTATCATTAGCTGTTTAGACTTTTTTCAAACTAGGCATTACAGCAATTAAATTTAGTTTCGAACCCTCAGCAATTTATCATTTATCATAAAGGTATGGAAACAAATAATTGTGATGCTGTCTGTGCACCAACAACGTCATATATACCACCTGTAAAAAAGTATCGTTCATTGGAAAGCTTCAGTTACGGTGTGCCTGAAAAGGTCGTGTCACCTATAATAGTAGGTGATCAAAAGGTTTTCGGATTTTTTCACTTCTAAATTTTCAAAATTATTAGGGAATCTTAGTTAGTGGTGGTTAAATGGATAATATTGCATTTTACTACAGAAATAAGTTTGTGAGGTAACTTTATTTACTGTAGTTTTTTTATGTGCATTACCTTTGCTATCACAACTTAGATCGGAGGCAAATATTTTGTAATTAGCATGCTTAGTTTCACTTAGCACTATGAGTCTATCAGATATTGTTTTATAAGTAAACTTGTGTTAATTGCATTAGCTTTTCTCATAATTAATTTTTCCTCACTTGATTTTTTTGATTCACATTGTTATATGCACTTAATTAGGTAATTCCATTGCTTTCATTGAAAGTAATCATGTATATATCTTGTATTTCATTCCAAGTTTATTTAATTCTTTTTGCATATATTTGTTTTAGGAAATGATGGAGAAACCGTTCAAGTGTTCATTCTGTGATCATCGAACTAAAGAAAAAAGTGCTCTAGATAAACACATACGATGTATACATACCCTGGAAACGCCGTATAAATGTCCTTATTGCCATCAAGGTTTTAAAATACAAAGTAATCTTGTAAGGCATATCCGATCTCACACAGGTTCTTATTTTAAGTTTAAATTTTTAAATTATTTCAATACCTAATGATTTGTAGCGGAGGATTTTTGGTGTGGTAAATTTTTCTAATACTGCCGAATTTAATCATATGATTTTGTAGGTGAAAAACCCTATTGTTGTAAGAAATGTGGGACCATGTATGCTGATAAGAAAAATATGGATGCTCATATATTTAGGGAGCATTTAAAAGGGGAACTATTCGAGTGTCCGGAAGAACTGTGTAAAGCTAGATTCTGGAGAAAAGATCGTTTTTTAGTACATTGTAGTCGTTCACATAATCTTCACCCAGATGTTTTTTGTAAAAAGTCAAGTGAATGAATCGCCTTTTAATTTTCATTTTGCATAATGGTGTGTATACTTGTCGAATCGCAGCTTCTATTTTCCGTTTACTTTCTGCCTATGTTTGTATTAGATTTCCGATTCTTTTTATTGTCTTCTTAACTTTCATGATTTCTCACTCATTGTGAGCATTATTTGTTTTAATTTCCTTTGCAATTTTTTGCAAAATTCTTTTTATTTGCAATAAACACTGGGTAAAAGTCACTACAAGATCTCCTTATCTGAAATCGCAAAATAAATGCCTCTTGAATCAAGTGAGTTTCGAGTTTTCGATGTATAAATTTATAATGATCAATAAAAATCTGCGAACATTTGTGTATTTCGTATTTTGAGACTGTTAAAAAATACTAAAAAGTACTGCAGTAATTATCAAGTTTGGACAATTGTTTCTGAATATCTGCTCGTAATACTGCTTTGCTAGATTAAGTTCAAGCAGTGTGTTTGCAGCAGGCTTTAAGTTGAGGTTTTCAGTACTTGATCTAAAAACAGAATGGTTATAGATTGTCTGCATAATGAAAGTAAGTGTTAGTGAAGTTATAGTAAAGATTTAGGCTACATGACGGACAAAGATGTGGATCATTACATAAGGCAGAACATTGTTTGGTCAAAATTGCCATATGATGTCCGAACTGTGTTGGGAAATTCGCAGAGGGAGTACGATAAGCTTGTGTTGGAATATTCCATTAAGAATCAGTTAAGGTATAAGGGTAATATAGGTGTGTTACTCTTTTTGTGCGTTGTTTTTTTCAGTTCTTATATTTGCTTAAAATTAAACAGTCTGTGAAAAGCAATTTTATCCAATCTTCAAACTGAAGTATGGAAATATCTTAATGTAGAATGTTTCAGTGAAGTATGTAAAGAAAAGTGAGGAAACTTACTATGATATTCTCTTGAAATACAGTGAGACTCATCTTATGCTTTATCCATATCATTTATCGGATATCATTGTACGAGAACTTCGAATGACACCATTCAGTTATTATATCAACATCATGATGGTAAGTTTCTGTTAATAATTCACAAATAGATCTCTTTCTTATGTATTTTCTTGTTCATTATGATTTTCCCAGATGTAAGACAAAATGAATTGTAAAGGTGCATGGAATTCATTTGTATGAAATAAGAGCGGTGAGTTCCATTTACGTTACAACGTGTGGCAGTTCTTAAGCATTTTTTTCGCAGAAATTGTTTTCAGAATCTTATAAATGCTGAAAAAAGTTATGACTCATTACCGAATTTCACGGCTGCTGATGCTATGAGATTATTAGGAGTAGGAAGGAATCAGTATATTGAGTTGATGAATCAGAATCGTTGCAATAAAAAATTATTTCGAAGAAGTAAATCATTGCGCGAATTGTTACCTTCGAAACCTGTTCCAGTAAACATTGAACCTTGGTGGCTGGTCGCACCAGGAAGTATCCTAGAAAATGATATCAAAGTAATATTTAGGCACTATATATGAACTTTGGACATGTCTTTACTTTATATATGTTTTTGTATATCGAGAGATACCGTATTTTTATTTGCTAATTAATATATCTTAAAAATTGAAATAAGAAAGAGCGTAATGCAGTAAAATCATTGACTAATAAGCACACTGGATAATCATAACAATCAACTTGAATTGTTGTAGTTATTAAGTAGAAATGAGAAAGATTTGCTGGATATGCTTATTGATGAGGGCGCGCAGTTAGTCGGAACACTTGATGCCAGACTCATACAGCAGCTTTATAATCGAGGCTTAGCTTATTTGGAAGTTCCAGTAAACGACGATGACCATATTTATGGTAAGCTTCCTTGCTTTTGCATTAATGTAGAGCATTGTAAAATATTTCATAATGGTTTGATAATTTCGCTTGCAGATTCTGAAAAGTTTCGTGTCATCAATAATATTTTCTTAGTTAGGTCATTTCTTATAAATATGGCATCGTTGTACAATCTCACATGATCATTTGTGAGTTTCTAAATTTCTTCACTTCCACCTATTTATTTGCCTGTAATATTTTTCTGTCCGTAGTCAGCGACCAATATTTATTTTTTGGACTGAGCAGGTTAGTTAATTCTGTATAAACCACATTTAGCAATAGCTTTAAGAAAAACTGACATATTCTTCTTAAAATCCTTTTATGTCTTTCAGTCCCAACTTTGGATGGCTTTGTTATGAATCGAGTAATGGGTGATTATTTTGAAAATCTTTTGTATCAAATATTTGTTGCAATTGACGAACAGACAACTGTAAAAATGGTACAGTTTGTGGTTTAAAATATTTCCTTTAAAAAGTTACGGAACTTTAAGAGTTTCATTTAAATTAAAAGTGTTTCACAACAGTGTGTCCTATTAATGATCGATTACTCATATTTTTTAGTCTCACTTACTTATGTGGTTGCAGCTCTCAGAGACTTTAAATATTGATTTGTATTTGGTGAAGAATGCAATATCAGTATTTTGTCGACTTGGTTTTGCAAAAAAACGAGTAACTGGACTTGAAAATCTTGCTTTGCATGTAACATGGGCAAGTCGCATGACTATTCCATTGTAAGCTTTATAAATTTCAATAAATTGAAACCCCTTTTTTTTGCTTGCGTCGCAAATTGAATTCTTGTTTATTTTTTATTAAATCATTCTTTAATATTATAGTTTTGGCTGTCGAGAATGACTCGTAAAAATGTTTCTTAATCATGTTAAAGGTGACTTGGTACTGCATTATACTAAATGTAATGATGAAATTATTTTCATTACTATGTCTCTTTAATTCAAGCACTTGTTTTTTTTTCTTTGCATCTAATTAAATAACATTTAATGACTAGTACTACATTTAAAGTATTTTGGAAAGATTTCAAATTACTTTTTTTTCACAAAAGTTGTGTTTAATGCATGCCACATCAAAAATTTCATGAGAAAATTTTGACCTCTACATTTTTCTGTTTTTAAGAAAATCAGCTTAGTTAAGTATTCTGGTCTTGGGAAATTTATTCAAAGTGCTTGATTGTTTTTATCAGAAATGACGACGATACTACCACAGCAATAACAGCAGACCTATCAGCTTTTTCCACTTCATTGAGTTCACCTGCTGGTGCAGACGAAGATGATGAAAATGAATCTAGTTCGGAGGGATTGGCCGCCAAAAATGGAGCGCTCACGACTTCTTGCACAGTACCATTTTACTAACTTTGCGGAAAGCAAAAATTGTTAACCATGGAGAGAGTAAAGACTCTGCAGTTTCTAACTTCGGTCTGTTTTTTTCAGTCATTGTCGCTATCATCTCAAACTCCAAGTAGTGGAAGTGATCCTGCAAGACGAATCGCGTTCTTATTTGATTCTTCGTTGACCGCTTTTCTTATGATGGGAAACTTATCAGTTGTATGCATTTTTTTCATGACCCAATAAGTGAGGTTGTTAGTATGAAATTGTAAGGATCTCATAGAAGCAAGTAACAAGTTATTTGTATTTAATCATGTGGATATTTTTTTTTTAATACATTGAATGATCTGTTTTGTTTTTTTTAGAGCTTGAAAAATCATGCTGTAACATTATTTGAAGTTGGAAAGCTAAATGATGAATCATTGGATAGTTTTGTGGAGGAGCTGCAGAATGTAAGTTTGTATTGTTAATATGAGAGGCAAGAGAAAGAGATATTGTAAACTGCATATTTATAAGCACTTTTCAAAATTATGTATGCAGTTAGGTACCTTTGAGAACTGTTTGTTGATTCAGGTCAAACTTTTTGTGGAAGGTGAAGCACAAAGATATTCAGAGCATGCTCAAACACTGTTATCAACAATAATCGCATTAAGAAGTGTTTCCGAATTAGATTTAATTAGAGGAGAGAGCTTACTGTCATTGGATCATTCTACACGTTTGCGTCTTATTAGTAAAACATATAGGTTGTGACTGCATTTCTACAAAATTTTCGTTTGAGATTCCTCTTTTGCATTCATTTATTATATTCTTATCAAAATAATATGCACCATCTTTAAGTAGAATCAAGATTTTATTGAGGTGTTTGGTTTCAATGGCTCCACTAAATGGAGAAGCTTGTCCCTTATTAGAGCCGTCTTCTGTTCCTCATTTTGGTACTGTCGTTCCAGAAGTTTGTTTTTTTTCCAGTTTTATTTTCAAAAATTTGTAACTTACTGCAAAAAATGGCAAATATTTGCAGGTGGTTTCTCCATGGTTTCGCTTATTTTTATATGTCTTTACTGGTGATGGACCAGTTTCTTTGTACATTCCAAAAGGATCTCGTCTTCCTGTAATACCACGTGCTTTGCGTGGATGCAAATACATGCTGGTTACAACGGCTTCGCATGAGCCTGTTATTATTTCAACTGATAATTCTTTAGTCCATCTAAACGATACGCTTCAAATGCACGCAGTATTGGTCCAGGTTTATTTTTAAATCCCATTCTCTAGCAAAAATTTAAAAAATTAAGATTTTCATATTTTGGAATTTAATTCGTTCAATTTGTAATATTGTTTTATCTCATCAGAACTTTTCTGTGCTTTATAATAAATTTAATATGCGTTGACTTGAAAGCCAGTGTGATGATTTTCAAATTTAGAATTATTTTTGCATTTTCTTACTTAAAAATTTCTTATTCGAATTCTTGTTTTAAGGAGTATAGTGCTGTTACTGACGATTCCGAGGTAGTACTCATTCCATTTCCATTCACTGAGTCCAACTCTCAAAAAGGTAATCGCTCTTTTCTTTCTGTAAATACCAGAGGGGTTTACTATAAAAGTAAGATAACATTTTAGAAGTGAACTCTGTAGCTTATATATTCATGAATTACCATTCAAAACACTAGTCATTGCTTCATAAAAATGATGGATCGGATAATTATTCGTTTCTAATTGATAGTCGAGTTATTTAAGGCGATTTTTCACTTCATCCTTCGGTATTAAAACTACGAGACAAACTGGGCTTAAATTCATTATGCGGTTATTTAACGCTGTTACGGAAAAACCAAACTTCTGGATGTGAAAAAGTGTCACGAACCGCTAATTGTAATAGTGCCACAGTTAGTAAAGATCCAAGGTTTTATTTACTTTTTAAATTTCGTCGAAAAACGAGTCATGGATTGTGAAAACAAATTATTTGATTGTTGATTTCTTTTTTTCTCATTTCAAAGCACAAAAATTATTATTGAGCTGGACAAGAAAATCATTTTGAATTGTCATCAGCGCTTTGAAAAAACAATATTTGTAGGAAAATTGCAAATTTGCGTGCTCAGTTGCCAGAAAATGAAACATATGACGATTATACATTGCTTGATTGTGTTTTTGGAATACCATTATTTGATGAGTATTTAAATAAAATCATCTGTCAAAGAATCAGTCACTACAGACTTCTTAATCCAACAAAGTACTTTTAGTTTTCATTCTGTATTTTGTAATTATATCAATTTGTTTAATTTATTTAAAAAAGTGATTAAAAATATCTGAATTACTATCTCATATATTTCAAATCGGAAGCATTTTTTTCAGTTTAAATGCTGTACAATTTGCGAATTACGATTTGGCACAGTCTTTACAAGCTCTGATCAGCAAATATCAAAGTATCGAAGAAAAAGATGTAAATTTAAAATATGTAATAAATTTCTTTATTTTTCAAATTATTCAAATTTCTGTATTCTTGTCTGATCAATAAAATTTTCTGAATTTTTAGTTGCCTGTTGGTCAATTTTCGCGCTGGTCTCCACCAACTCAAAATATTCTTTTCCAAGAAGGACAACTAAGCATATTGGATGATTCCAGAGTATGGTAAACAAGAAATCTGATTTTTTACAAGGGTCAGTAATATCTTTCTATCTGATTATATCATCATTAAAGTTATAATTTCCTGGGTGTGGCAGTCTGTTTTTTTTCTGGAAAAAAAATTTTTCTGTCGTCTGAGAACACAATTTGATCTCCTGGCGAAAGTTAATAGAGAAAAAACACATTTTAATCTTTCAAACTATATATTCTGGAGATTTGCTTTCAGTCTTCAAACTTCCCAAACTGTTCTCAACTCCGATATTTTTAACTAGGAATGATAGACGATTGTTTATTCATTTTGCTTAAAATGTCTATGAATGCCATCGTCTTTACTGGTTGATTCTGTTCTCAATTTAAAGATATGTTGCATCACACTTTCGATTACAGGTGATGCCGGGTATTTAGTTTGAATTTTTGGATAATTCTCTATATCAGGTACGTATCGGAAGCGTTTTGTCAAAAATCATCTTAACAGCAGCAGAAAAAAAGTTTAATTCTTTCAACATTTGTTTCATTTGTTAATTAAATTTGGATTATTTTACTTTTTATTGTGTCATAGATCCATAAGAATCATGATTTTATTTTTTTAAGATAGCTGCTGATAATTTGCAAATGGCCAGATACTATATTCTTTACTTATCTATTCCATATCTCATCTTATGTGAAGCAAATGTTTGTGTTATTTTGATGTTGGGTAAAACTTTTCTTTTTAACTTAATTTATCAGTATAACTGTTGTGGGTTTTTTTGTTGATTAAATGTATAACAGTAGTATTTTGAATAGTTCGTCTTTCCAGTTCGCACGGTTTATAATTTCAAAGTTTTTTTGTTATAAAGTTTGCAGTTGATTTTTAATCTTAATTTGTTTAACAAAATCCAGTTTTGATGTACCGTTAATTCTCACTGATTTTGTTATTTTTGAATCAAGATGCTCACTTTTTTTCTGTTGTCATCACACTATTTGTTCATTGTATTATCTCCATTCCATATTCCCAAATTTTTATGATACTTTTATCAAATTTTGATAATTATTGCTTTAGAGGTGTGAACTTGATTGTAAAGTTTATCATTTATATTTTATGAATTTTGCTTAAGTAGTAACTGTATTTCTAGATCTTTTATTAATTATTGATTTAGATCCACGAATTTAACTTATTTTAAAGTGACCTAATACTCCTATTTAGCGCTGCTTTGTTGTTGATACTCTTTCTTGATTACTATTCTGTGATATCGGTTGTGAAAAGGTTGTGAGCTGTTTTGCATGTAAGTAGTCATTTCATTTTCAGAGTCTCATGATTTGTAAACTAACAAGATTCTCACTTACATTCAATGAAATAAAAATAATTTGTGCTCTAGCAACGCACATGGGAATGAAGCACCGCAATATGCTTTTCTGTGCTACTTTTAAGTACTGAAGTCACTTTTGCATTATTCACTTGAAATTGAAAGTAGTCGGAGAACTTAAAATCAGGATGAGGAGTTTCAGAATTGTAATATATTATGCTTTACATTTAAGTTGAGGGGAGGAAGGATTCAAAATGAGCAGATTGTGAAGCCAAAGATTGCTAATTCCTTTCCAACTTGATTTCTTTATTAATTCTACTGGCTTATACATTTGATATAAGTTCCACTCTATAAAATCACACTATAAGTTAGTGTAGAGAACGAACTAGCGTAATCTTATTTTGGAAGTGTTTTGGCATTACTTTTCATCGATACAAATCTCGTTACTGCTTGCAACAAAAAGTCTGATCTCCTTCTGGTAGTTATTTCTTTCTTACAAGATAATTTCTGATTGAGTTGCTACCAAGATTACTCATCAAATAAGACAGCAATCTGTAGCTAGTTTAAAATTGCAGAAGTTTATTGTTTTCTTTATATAATTACAATGTGTGATTTATAATTTGCAACAAAATGAAATCGAAAAAAAAAGATCTCAAATGTGAAATGTCCAAATTTGCAACAAATAACATATATTGAAGTTACTCATATTCAAGTTAGTTAGTCACATTCATAGAATTGAAGATTTTGCTAATTTGATTTTGACCTCGAAAAATGACTTATTGTCATTTATCATTTTACTGTGAAAAGCATTTGCATTAGTTTCTGTGTCAGACAACTTTACCCATTCTCATATAATAAGCTTACTAAGTAGAAAAAATAAGTAAAAAAGTACCCTTATCATTGACTAAATACTTTTCATGTTTTGCATTTGCCTGAACAGTCTGAACGTTTGGTACATGTGGACATTTGACCGTTGACCAGATGGATGCATGCAAAGTTGAATTTAGGAAAGATGAAAAAGAGGACTGATTCATTTGGCTTAATATCTTGTCTTGACTAGCTTTCATTGTGATCGAATTCAGTCTTTTATCATTTTTCATATCTTTTTAAATATATCCTCGTAGAGAAGTTTATCTATCGAAAATAATCTGATGTTCTATCATTTCTGGCTAGCCATTTACTTACGTCTGAAATTTAAAATACATATATAATGATGGATGAATATGACGAATAAATGATTCCATAGATACCTTATTTATATAATCTTCAACTTTGCTTAAGCGTAAAAAAAGTTTCAAAGTTTTTTCATTACATTCTCATTTTGGCGTGATAAAAATATGCTACGATCATTCCACTTGAAAAGCGTACTGTGATAAGAAATTCTCATTATTAATAATTACGTGTAGGGGTGCTATGCATAATTATTGATTCAATTAACAAAAATTTGTTCAGTTAAAAAATATTGCGGTAATCTCATAATTATCTTTAAAATTTATAATCAAATTCATTAATGACTTTTTGCTTTTGATTTGTCATTAGTTCAGTTTTGACAGATCACAATAATAAAGGCAATATCACAAATATTTATGGCTGATTATTAATTAAATAATTAGATATCATAGAAACATTTATAAATTATATTTGCAAATAAATAATGCTAGGAATAATTTGTTGCTAGATTTGTTACTTAAATCATGCTTTGTAATGGAGTAAAACAAACCTAGAATACATGGAATAGAAAACAAATATGCTACAAATTAAAAAATAATTTTGAATAGATTTTTAAAAAATGGATGAATGAGTGAATGAATGAATGAATGAATGAATGAATGAATGAATGAGTGTGAATGAATGAATGAATGAGTGAATGAGTGCATGGATATGGTGGAATATGAGAGAGACAAAAAAGACTAAATTTTTTATTGGCAAATCTGAACGATAATTTTATAGGCTATCTCATAAAAATCTATTAATAACCGAATCTACAAATCACAAACTTCTTTAGGATGGATGGATGAATCATTTCATTTTAGTATTTAAATATTTAACTAAAATACAAGCTTTTTTTTACCTTTTTCATTGTTTGTAATTAGGTTATTTTTGAAAGAATATCTCCATAGCATATATATTTTCATCAATTCAAATTCTTTTCCGCTCGTATGCTAAATACGTGTTTATAAGTCAATATGCAAAATTATTGGAGAAAGTTTGTTTTTTCTTTTGGGGTAATCTGCCTTAGATGTTATCAGTGCTTTTCCATTAGCGTAATGATAATGTGAGAGATATTTTTGCTGATCAAAAAGCCATTTTGCTGTGATCGTTTTTACACTATAATGTATTTTTAGCTATTTTCATTTACAATTTTGATATTTTACAGATAATTTTTCACTTTATGAATGGATTGAAAGCACTCGCATAATCTGCCAACTATTTGTTATCACTACAAAGATCACAGCTTAATTTAAAGGTACTATTAACTGTAGTTTTTGTAGTGCGATGAATTTGTTACTGTAATACATTATGGTGTAAAAATGTATTACAGTAGCAAATTAGCTGATAGTGATAACACAAATTTTTTTGATCGAACTGAAATCATTTTGATAAAATGTAAACTATTTGCCGATTACTACATTGAGAAATGGCATTTTTTCGCCTTTTCCAAACTTTCTGATGCATTTTTTAGCATTTACATTTCTGAGTGCTTTTACAATGTGTTTTGTTGCAATTTTTCATGCTTAAATTTCTGCTTATAAAAGGATAAAGCATTTGTTTTCAATTCAAATACAACGCTTTATTCTTTTGCTAGCAGTGCATATTTGGAGAATTTTTACACACAATTCTGGAATGGTTTGACCACAAATTCTGCAATGACACTGAAATGTTTTGATTGCTCATCCGAACTTTTAATCTTACTTTCATAAAGTCATACACGCTGGAGCTGCTTAGAGTCTCATAACAGTCACGTGTGAGAGCAGCCATGAGATTCATGCTCTTCATACCCTTGTTGGTCTTCCTAGGTTTTTGCCTTCAAGGTGTTTCACCTGCCAAATACCGCTCTACCAGAATTTTTTGCAAGTTATTTAAAATAATCTTTTCTATGCTTGCCTTCCATTTTTCTTCCCACTTTGTAGCATTGTTGTGCTACCTGGAACTGCCTTGCAAGATCAGTCATTGTCTGAGGGGGGGG